TGATTGTCAAGGCTATTGTGTCCATTTATTGAGGCAACCAACTTTAGTGAAATGAGATTATTGCTTGCTAGAGGTAAAATACCCAAGACTGTTGATAGATAAGTCAGGGTGCAACTGGAGAAATGAACTTAATTGGAGTAATTTTGATAGTTGGAAACAAAAGAGTTGGAAGGCATGCCAGTTGAACGAAGCGAAGCAAGCAAAGTTAATTATTCCTGATCGAATTGCAGAATAAGATGCCCGAGAAATTCACTGCATCGCTCAGACATGGTGAGATTAATTTGTTGCCTCTGCTCAACGTCAAATCGGTTGTGCCACCACATATGCTGTGCTTTGTTGAGATGACGAATTGGGAAGCACTGATGCCCCCACGTCGTCTCGTGCAGCACCACGAAGGCAAAGCCGTAGTTAGACGCGTTTCTCAGTGCAGTGTCGAGCATATCTGCACTGGGCGTTTTCATGTACATCCATGTGTTATACATGCCTCAATACATTTTCACCATTCCCTTCATTTAGCATACACCCGGTGCGCTTTCCAACTGACATACATGCATACATGCATACATACCAGTGGCACCTCTGGACGAAGAACGGTTGGTAACCAATGGCTTTGTGATATTTCACTCCTCCGCCCTTTCCCACTAACATATCCGATTGGAACATTACCTCCACCTGTACATTACCTCAGCACTGAACGCCAATGCCTCTCCTCAACCTCTTCACATGATATGCTATGATGTGATGTGAGAGTGACACTGAGACATGTAACATAACACTGCAGACCTGTACCTATTAAAAGTGTCATTCAAATGGCATTTCACTTACTCCCCACCCTCACCTAAATGCTTGCATTCTTCTCACAGCACCGACTTGTCTTCCCCTCAAGTGCCAACCTCACTTGTCACGTGGTTGGTCACACAACATCGCTTTGACTTGGAGGTGTATGTGAGGTAGGAAAGTGGAGTGGAATGACCGCCTGTGTGTCATCACTGATGTGTGGGTGGTTAGGGTGGGGGAGGACGCAATGCTCATTCTGCAGGGGTACATGTTATGCTCAATTTATATCGAGTGGTTGGATGGTCAGTTCTAGACTGCAATGCTCTACTTCTTAATGTCCTTACCTAGTGCAAGATTGGTGTGGGGATGCAGTCTTTGTTGTTGTTGTTGTTACAAGGCAATGGTCACAACAAGATGGGAGGTTTTTTATGTAGCTGGTTGCAACCACGTGTTGTTGTAATTTGTAGGTTCTTGTAGAATGTATGCGATTTTTTGGAATGTATGAGTTATAAAAGCCTGAA